CCGTGCAGGAACAATGATCGCTGCGAGCACCTCAGAGAGAAAGCTGCCTTTGTGTTCCTGTCCCGATGCCAGACAGTCCAGTTTCTCCCCGTGTATGTCTGGGTCCCCCAGAGTCTCGCCCCGAACTGGAGTTCAGAGTAAGCAGAAGCTTGTATCTCCCTCCTGATTAAAAGAACAGTATATCCAGGTGCCAGCACTTTCCGTGCCTCCACACCTCTTACCAGTTCAATGCACTTTCTTCACCTCTCTAGTTGTGGAACTTCCACTCAGCCAGCTTTCCTGCAGGTCTGGGTGGTTGTTGTTCTGTTTTTTAGTTGTAATTTTGATGTGGTTGTGAGAGGCAGCAAATATAGTTGTTTACCTATGCCGCCATCTTGGTTCTCTGCACCACTTTTTTCAAGACTCATTGTAAAATGAGTATCCCAATATTCAACATAAAACAAATACAAAGGAAACAGAACCAGAACCAGGATAAATGAGCACTGTTTATAAAGCTCCAGAAGAATGTAGCTTCCCAAAATAAAAGAAAGCCCTTATTTGATGATATACAAAGAAACTCACTTCAACTTTGCCATGCATTATAATTCATTCTTAACTTTTGCACATTTACCTTCCATAATAGTTTTTATTTGGAAGGGCTGAAATCAAATACCAAATGTGTGTCTCAACTATTGATGTAGAGAAATTTCACATTTGGCAAAATTGGTTCAAAATGAATAAATTATAGAAGCTATTCTCTTTTAGTAAGAAAATACCTAATTCCCAGTAATAAGGACTAGAGATCCAGCAGGCATTAAACATCCTATAATTGCAGTATAATGTGCAGAATGACTATAGATATATAGTTCTAAGTAAACCCCAGACATCTTAAGGTCTTACAGCTGAATAAAGTTGCTGCCAACGTCTTCTTTTGGCTTAACAGTGCAGCTAATAGTTTGGAAACAAATAATAAGAACTATCATTAGGCAGCAAGATACCTAAACTAAACATTTAGCATAGAGAGTAGTACAGATATGATATAGACCCACAATCACACACAGATACTTTATTAGTTTCCTCTACACAAGCTAGTAACATCAATCTTTTAACAGAAACCTCAGGTCATTTGAGAGGCCAAACAGATCCAATGAAATAAGATGAAAATTAAATACTTAAATTAATCAAAAGGCAGTACAAAACCACCTAGAACCTTCTACCACAGTGATAGTGGGCTAAGATTAAGCTACAGCAAAATAATCTCATGTAAATGTTAAAGAATACACAGCAAAAAGTGAGGTTTGCTTTCCAGAAGACTATGGTACAATGATCATTTGGGCCCAAGAAGGTATTTAGCCAGGAAAAGGTCAAGATGGTTGAAGGTCAAACCAAATGGAAAAGGAACAGGTACAAAAGAGACTAAGTGACAGTTTCCTAGCAGAGGTTGAGGGATCAGGCTCTTTTCCTCCCAAGAAGCATCTGCTGCAGTGTGTGCTGCCTTCCTTCCCTCAGGCTCCTACCTGAGAGCTGCCTGCCTTACAGGGAATCAGCAACCAGAGCTGGATTCTGGGCTGCCTAGGGCTCTTGTTGTAATTTAGTATAGACTTTAGAGAACTTGTCACATGTTAAGGGGGGTTGGGAGTTAGTTTGGCTTTGATCTTTTTATTTTGTTTATTTTGGGGTTGGCTCTGTTGCTAGTAGTTCTGAACCTAGGAATCCCAGAAACATTCACGTGAAAAGCAGTCTGAGCTTCCCCAAACACATTCAAGCACCCCCACACAACACCCTTCAAAGTCTGAAATCTTGTAGAAGCTGAGTGATAGCTAAAGCTGCAAGGCCCACAAAATCAAAGAAGCCAGAACAAGACAATGCAGGCAGGAAACCTGAGTAGTCTCAATCTGCCTTTCCCTAATTTTTGGAGAAAAGTTAATATACCTGGAATGGGATGTAGAAAGCTATTGGAGCAAGCTGGGGCTTTTGCTGAATTTTCCATCGAACACCAAGGGAAAACAAGGGAAGGGGTTCACTTTATTTTTTAAAAGCCTCAGAAGTTATTCTGTTATAAAGGGACATGGCTGAACAGGTAGGAAACAGATTCCCCATTGTGAGTTCTCCTGATGGCTTCTGCAAGAATCATGGAGATGTCGATCACCTAGAAAGACATGAAAAACACCAAGTTAGTATCATATAAACAGAGATGACTGGCCAATTTGCAGACAATAATGAGAAGTCTAATGAGAGTCCTTCACTGTGCTGTTTCACCTCATGAGTCTGCACCCAGCTATTCATAACATTTTTTAAATCCTCACCTAAGGACATGCTTAGAGAGAGGAAGGGAAGGAGGGTGAGGGTATGGCTAAGGGCGAGAGCGAGGGAGAGGGATAGAGAGAGGGACAGGGAGAGGGAGAGGGAAATAAACATTGATTGGTCGCCTTCCATATGTGCCCTAACTGGGGATTGAACCTGCTACTCAGGTATATGTCCTGGACAGGAATTGAACCTACACCCTTTCCATGCATGGGACGATGCTCAGCCAATTGAACCCCTCTGGCCAGGTGATAACATTTTTAATATAACCACATAGTATAGAGTTAAAATGCTAACAGAGGAAAATTTCTGACTCAGACTCACCAAGATGGTGGTAGGTTGACATTTAAATTTATTTTTTTAAGAATGAATATTTAAGCTGAAAAAAAAATCCCTTTAAGAATAACATCATCAGCGAGAGAAACCAAGATGGCGGCATAGGTTAACGCCAGAGATTGCTGCCTTGAACAACCAATTCAAATTACACCTTATAGACGGAACGGACATCATCCAGAACCACAGGGAGGCTGGCTGAGTGGAAATTCTACAACTAGGAGGAAAGAGAATATCATACCCAGACTCAGAGGA